AGTTATAGGTATACGCTAAAAAGTCCCCTAATATGGGTCATAACTATAGTTATCCTACTTATAAACCCACTTATAACTACCCATGAACCTCCAAGTACCCAACTCCAGCAGCATCCTAAACCCTGCGCAGATGGACGAGCAAGCGCGGATGCTTCGAATGCTGCGTCTGCATGCCATCGTCGAGATGGAAGGCTGCTTGATGGCGGAGTTCGGTCTTGCGGACGGTTCATATCGGTTTTTGTCTATCAGCAGTAACTTATCCACACTGGTCCCAACGGTTTCATTCCGAATCAACATTTGCCCAGTTTGTGTGCTTCTGCGGCTGCTGCTGGTGCTGGTATGGTTGAGAGTGTTGCTGAAGGGCGCTGCAGTTGCCGATGAAGCTGAAGTTGTTCTCGTTTTCGTTCGTGGTGGTGCAGGTGCAGGTGTGTGGCCGCCAGTGCCCGTGCCACTTCTTCGTGCTGTGTTTACTGTTGCTGTTTATCTTGCTGTTGTTGTTGTTGTTGCTGTTGTTGCTGCCTTTGCTGCTGTTGCTGCTGCTGCCGCTGATGGTGGCCGTTAGGGGCGGGGCGGCCGCGGCGGCGGCTGTGTTTTGCAGTGGTTGTCCTTGGCGATGATGATGTTTGTCGTTGTTGTTGCTGAGAATAACAGCCAGGTATGCCCAAGTTTTAGTTTCGACGAAAGTCCCCTAAACCCTAAACCTAAAATCCTAAACCCAAAACCCTAAACCCAAACCCTAAACCCTAAACCCTTGAAACACCCAGACACGCCGAAAGCCCAAGCGCCTGCCCGATGCCAACACTGAGGCTACCTGCGGCAAACAACGAATCCCCCGGTGCCCTCCTCAATGGCTCCGAGATTCTAGCTAAAATGCCCATTAGTACCCTTATTCCCTTTTTGTAGTCCTAGGTTCCTTATAAAGTTACCCAATACCAAAAAGAGAGGCCTTTTTATTCTTAGGTTACTGGGTATCCTAGCTAGTGTCCATGGGTTCCGGCTTACGGAGCCTACAGGATTTCGGCTGTTGGGCTTGGCCTTTCCAGAGAGCCTAATACCCTTAATTTAGGAATATGGAATATGGCTTAAATCATAATATGAAGCCCTACAACCTAAGCCATATTCCTTAATTAAGGGGTATTGGGCTCAATGGGTTCACGCTTGCGAACAACCCTAAACCCTATTTAAACCCCTAAACCCAAAACCCTAAACCCCTAAACCCCTAAACCCTAAACCCCTAAACCCTAAACCGGGTTGGTGACTTTTTCGGTCTGCGAGTGACTTCAGGTCTCGGTTTGCTCACGTCAGCCAAACTCTACCGCCCGTTACTTCCCCCTCCTCCTAGGGTTTAGGGTTTAGGGCGGTGCTTCTCATAATGCACTAGTTGTGCATAGATAATTTATGTAGTTCGGAGGTTCGTGGGCAGTTAGAAGTGGAATTATGGATCCCGTAATACAGGTAGTAAGTTATAAGTATAGCTATCCTACTTATACACCCAACTTACAACTACCCATGAACCTCCAAGTAGACCCTAAACCCTATACCCTGATAGAAGCCCTATAGATCTCTTCAAAGGGACCCTTAAAGGAACCCTTATAACTACCCATGAACCTCCAAGCTGCAGCTCGTCGCTCTGACGAAGTAGAGGGCACGTAGGAGCTATTTGGGGTCCGCTGCGCTATAGTCTCCTTAGGAATTATTTTTGTTTTTGACCATATAAAGCCCAAGAGAATATTAACAAATCTTATTTTTATTTATGGTCCTGAGGGGGGTCCTCTGCGGTAGACTATGTGAGGACAAAAGAAGTCACATTTTGTCCTTTTGGCTTCGGAGCACTGGGGAGTCTGATGGCGGAGGGGCTCATAATTTTGGTCTTTTTTGGCTTCAAAGCATGTGTTCTAGAAGGCTTTCGCAGTTTTGTTATGTGAGCCCGAGGGGTGATAGCTTGTGCCCAGCAAAGCACCCACCCCAAGCACCAAAGACCCGCAGCTCCCCTAAGATTGGAAAGTCAGTGCCGCCAAGGTGCCTTTGCGGGAGCCTTTGACAGGGATCGGGATCGTGCGGTTGAGGGCTACCGGCTCATAACAGTGCTGCGGTGGGCCATATATCCTTCTATGAAACCATCCCTTATCCCCAAGCCCTGAACCCTGATACATCCCCAACACGAAAGACTTGGAGAGGTGGTTGTGGTATTTGGTGCTCTTCTGTTTCAGCGTGGATCAGAGAGTCGTTGTGAAGGACAACGGCAGGGAACAACTCCAATATACGGGTCGGAACAGTTAGTAGTGGTAGTCCCTTACATCTTGTCCTCATTTGGTAATACTGTCACAAACCCTAGATCCTATAAGGTAGCCCACAAAAGACTTACAACGGAGACTGCATGAAGGTTGTAAGTAGGCATTATACGAAGGAGAGCAATAGTTACAACCTACATTAACGGACGTATATAAACCCCACCTCTAACTACCCTAAGCTCAAGCCTCTAATTCTTATACCCATCAGGCCCACTTCTGGGTATGGCTTCGAGGTAGCCAGGCCATAAGCTTTCTCTCCCTCAGGCATCTAGGGAATCTAGGGTTCAGGGTTTAGGGTTTAGGGAGTTCAGGGTTGAGCGTTTTGGGGTTTATGGGTTTCGGGCTCCATTGTGCTAGGTTTACCTTCCACATGAAGTCGGGCGGCGGAAACTCAACAGCCGAGCAGGCTCTTTGAAGCTGCCTGGACCTGTCGAGGGCCCGTCACACCATCACGCGATGATAGCATGGTCTCAGGCATGGTTTGGTGGGCATCGGCACTCTTGGGGAGCATGCTCTGCGAATTCGAGTGAAATCCCGGAGGCTCTAGCCTCCTATCTTCATAGCCTGTTTTTTTTTGTCAGGCTTGATGCCAAAACTTCGCATCCCCGCATAGTATACCTGGAAGTTCCCGGCTATGTTTACATCGTCGCACTTGCAAAATGCTCGGCCCCGAATCGTGAGAGCATACGACAGCAGAATGATTTCGAGGGGTGCTGCATCAGCAATCCGCAAGAGCACTGTAAGCTGTGCAAGCCGTAGAGACATGTGGGTTCGGGATTAAGTGGGTTTTAGATCTTGTTGATGTGGAGCTTGTGATGTCTCGATTCACGACAGGGCTTCTGAGCTGAAGCTAGTGCTCAACATCTCCAATCAATATGGTTTCGGATATGGGTATCTTCAGAATATGTACATCGATCTTAGACATGCACAAAGCTCAGTAAGTGAGTAAACCCAGTATCTCGAGGCTAATGCTGTTTGAAAGGAACATCTCTCGGTTCCCAGCTGTGAATTCATGATAATCTATCTACCTACCTACTGGCCTACCCACGTAATTCTCTCTCTTTCTCTCTCTGTCTCTGTCTCTCTCTCTCTCTCTCTCTGTTCGTTTTGTTTTTTCTCTCTCTCTCTCTCTCTATCTCTCTCTCTCTCTCTCTCTCTCTCTCTCTCTCTCTCTCTCGCTTATGTGATCAACTGTACTTGTCTTCGCCCCCGAAGCCCCTAACCACGTAAACCCTCAAGTCTAATTAGTCACTACGACAACACCGGTACACCCCACGACCAAACCCTGCAAGTCCAGACCTTAAGCACGAAGAAGCCCCCCCCAGCACCTCATATAGGGGCCTGTAATTAACTACAAAGTCTATTTTGGTGGCTTCTTACCTATTCTCATCATGAAGGCCCCTACATTAACTCCCCCTACCCAGACCTTCCAAAATCCCTTCATTAAGGAATATACCTTCAATTATAGTAGAGTCCCTAATATGATTTAAGGTATATTCCTTAATTAAGGGATTTTGGAAGGTCTGGATATCTCTCCTCAGGCCTTCGCCCCTGGACCCTATCCGGATGGCAGTCCTGCACTCTGCGGCGTCATCGCTTCATGGCTGCAGATGTCTTTTTGGGGTACCTTTTAAGGGGTTCCTTTAAGCGGATCTATAGTAGGGTTTTAGGGTGTAGGGTTGAGGTTGAGGGTTTAGGGTTTAGGGTTTAGGGTTTTGGGGGTTTAGGGTTTAGGGTTTAGGGTGCGCACCGCAATTTGCGAAATCCAGTCAAAACCCTAAACCCCAAACCCTAAACCCCATGCAAGGTCTAGTGGATCCACATTGGCACCCGCGCCGTCTCAAGGCCTCTCAAGGAGGCCTCCTTGCACAGCGGAGTTAGGAATTCCCCTAAGCGTTGAGCGTACCCAAATAGGTGTGCCTTTAAAGGGTCCGATAAGGATGACATAGGGGTTTGGGGTTTAAGGGTTGAGTGTACCCAAATAGTATAGACTTCGGCCATAAAGTAATCTCTATATGGGTACTCCCCTAAGGGTCCATGTGCTCATATAGGATATACATTGGCCTTAATGTAGTCCCTATTTGGACACTTTGGGGTGCATGTATCTCTCTATGGATACATGGACCCTTAGGGCTCTAGGGCCAAAGTATATGCTACCCAGACCTTCCAAAATCCCTTAATTAAGGAATATACCTTAAATCATATTAGGGATCCTATTATAATTTAAGGTATATTCCTTAATTAAGGGATTTTGGAAGGTCTGGGTATTTGTGTACGTGGACCCTGAGGGTTGTTTATCAGAGCCTTTGGGGGGCCTTTAGGGCTTGAGGCATCAGAGGCGAGGGTTCGGTGCTTCAGGAAAAGTCGTTTGGCCTTTAGGGTCGGGGGTTTAGGGCTTGCAAGTGAAATCACTTGCAGATGCCTCACTCAACACTGTTGGAGACGCATCTGTGTGTCTTGTGATCGCAGCTACGAATCAGGTCAAGTGTGAGCAGAAAAGAGGTCCGCTCAGCCCCGTTCGTCCGGGCCATCGGGATTTCGGCATCTGCTCTTCAGGCCTCTTTCCAGCGCTTGTGCACTGAGGGCATTCGAACAGCTACCGGACTTTCATGGTAGCGGAGCCTTCGGGCTCCAAAGATCCAGGGACCTTCGACTGCTGAGCGCTCGTACCCTCAGCAGGTGACTAGTCTGGTAAGTGGCGAGTACGCCATGACGGAGATCACGAGATCCAAAGATGGCGTGCCAATCTGGAATGGTGAAGCGAGCACATTCCAGGAGTTCGAGGAAACCGCATTGATATGGGAACAATCCATAGCTATGAACAAGCGATACTTGTGTGGACCCAAGTTGCTAGCAGAGCTCACCGGCGCTGCTAAGAGATTGGTGGCGGGGAAGCCCCATGACTGGGTTTCGCACTCTCGAGGTGTTCGTGACTTGATGAAGCACTTGAGGGCTTGTTTGGGGAAGCCTTTGGTGTCAGATCTGACTGAGCATCTCAATCGCTACTTCAAGAGCTCCCGTCGGCGTCCGAACGAGACCATGAACGATTATATCACAAGGAAGTGCGAAGTGTACCTACGTGCCTGCCAGGCCCTTCAGCGTGTCCTACCGCATCATGAAGAACGGGGCGCCGAGGCGAAACCTAAGAGCACCCCGCCGTGGAATACCAGCCGCCGGAGCAGCTGGGACTCCATGGGTGCGACTACGACGGAGGACCAGGGCGAGGTACAGGCCGCGGCCCCTGTGGGACAGGAGCCGGAGGATGCCGATGACGATGCCACCGAGCGGGAGACCGAGGACCCCTGGCGGTGGTGGCAACCAAGTCAGAGCTGGTGGACAACCTCCTCCTGGTGGACGCCGGGATATGGAGGCTATGGCTCCAGTTGGTACGGCACAGGGGATTGGGAATGGTCGCCACCCAGTTGGCAGACTACTTCGGAGGCGCCACGGCCTCCCATACCCGAATTGCTGCCGGACTTCGTGCAGGGATGGTACCTTCTGCAGGACTCAGGCTTGGACGCGGGAGAAAAGAACATGATCATGGCGGCGCTGAGCGGGAATTTTGCCCTGCAGCGAGTGGCGCAGGAGCTACGCAACCAATGGTCTGGTCAGGAAGCTCATCGGCGACGGGAGTCAGCGACCCGTCAAAGTGGCTATTGGGGTGATGGACCCCAAGACGACCTCGAGGAGAACCCCGAGGCCGAGAATGACGACGGCCTCGAGCCGGAGCTTGATGAGGAGGACCAGGCGATGTTGACGGTGGCAGAAGAAGAGGCTCAGGAAGCCATGGCGGCTATGGAGCAAGCACGGCGCACATTGCGTGCTGCCCGTACGCGGCAGCACAATGTGCGCATGTCAAGACAGTACTTCAGAACACCCGGGCGGGGTTCCCAAGGTGCTGGTCGAGGTCGGGGCTCCGGAACACCCGATGACTCCAAGATGACGTGCATGCGATGCGGAAAGGTTGGTCACAGGGTGGCCAACTGCCCCCAGCCGGCGCCCCAGAGCGCCAAGATAGCCGAACAGGTGGAGGCGAGCTCCTCCTTCATATGTTTCAATGATGTGGAACCCGAGACGGCGTATGCGACGGGGATCACCACGGCCGAAGCGGTGCAGCAAGGCAAGGCCGTTATCGACGGCGGAGCTACCAGAACCTTGGCATCTGTACCCGCGATGGAGGCAATTATGTCCTTGAACAACCAGAAGTACGGCAACAACGGCGTGAGCGCCGTGGACCTCAAGGACCGCCCCATCTTCGGCTTCGGGAACGGATCAGAGAACCAGTGCACCTCCACCATCCATCTCAGGATCGCCTCCGACGAGCAGCCCGGCGACCTCAAGGTGCACTGTTTGGACCATGGTAGTGGCCCGCTTCTACTGAGCGTGGATTCTCTGAGGAAGCTAGGAGCCATTATCGATTTTGAAGCTGACCTGATTTGTTTTAGGAACCTCAACGACTGCCAGATAGTGCAAGTTGAGCGATCATCTACTGGACATCAGCTGTTACCCGTAACAGAAGATTTCATGAAGCAAGCTCACCCCGCTAAGACGGCGATTCCTAGCTTGCGAGAGTACCTGGCCCGGGATGGCTAGGGACAGCTCCTTCGTTCCTCCCGTTCCGCGGAGAAAACGAAGGGTCCAGAGTATGTAGCGGAACATGGGGCTAGAACCACTTCGAATCCCAGTAATGTACAGCCTACTGTGAACGGTAGTGGTAGTGTGAGTGAGGGTTTTAGAGATTCTGCTTCTCCTGATGTGCAAGTGGCTTGTGACAGCAATGTTACCTCAGTGCAGTCTTCGAGTCAAGACGAGTTCGAGGATCTTTTTCCGCCAAGCGATCAAGCTCACCATGGCAGTGGCCTTCAGCAAGCTGAATGCCATGACGAAGGAGCAGCTGCGCGCCCACCTGTTCGAGAACTACCACGAGCATGCCTATGTCAAGTGGACCAAGGTGGAGATCAAGCAGCGCATCCTCGAGCTGCAAGGGGACGACATCGAAAACCTCCAGCGTGGGCCAGCACTTACAGCCACTCAGACCGCCGTGGCCGAAGTGCGCCGTGCTGCCAAGAAGAAGGCCAGCTTGGTGCAGTTGTGCCAGGAGAAGTACCACATGGAAGTCGGCAGGAACGACACCATCGCGATCCTGGAGGCCAAGGTGATGAAGCAGATCTACGAGAACACCGAGCCCGAGCCGGAGGACATCATCGGCTTTGGCAAGAACAGCGCCCTTCAGTACCGCGATATGCTGAGTGCCGAGCACAACAACTACGCCACGTGGGTGACGACGATGGCCAGAGAGAATCCGGTCTCGGGATGCGACCCGCGACTGTATCGTTTGGCCCGGTGGTTGAACACCCACATGAGCAAGACGACGATGGCGAATCCCAAGGCGATGGTGCCGGCGGCCAAGAAGACGACGATGGGTTACCGGAAGCACGACGGGCCAATGCCAGCCCCGAGCGAGGCCAGCAGCGGTTCGGGACATCAGGAAGCCCAGGACCAGAAGATCAATGCCTTGGCCGAAGTGCTCAGGGACCTCAAGGACGAGATCCGCGAGCTCAAGGGCGAGAAAGCACGCAAGCAGAGGACTTCCGAAGCTACCGATTCGGAGATGCCCGACGAGTCGGACACCTCGTTTTACAAGATCAACACGCCACCAGCGACAACACCGGCGGCGCAGAAGTGAATGAGGATGCTGAGGACGTAGCACCGGGGACGGAACCAGGTGAGTACCTTAGTGCCTCAGAACGGTTGAGCCAGCAGCTTAGAGGCCCGGGGCCTAGGACGCAGCAACTCAGCGAGCAACAAGCCCGTAGTTTGGAGTATAAGGCCGCTTCCGTGGTTCCCGATTTGTTTCAGGACCTGGTAGGCTATAACCGTCCAGTGCTGCTCCAGTACAGTGAGCATCGCAACCACACACTCTCTCAGGCTGTGCAAGAGCGAGCAAAAAGCTCAGAGTCCGTGCTGCAGTGTGGGCCCTGGAATGGCTGCGAAGTGGCCACTAAGGAAGGACTAAGGTTGCTACTAGACCGTATCCGTTTGGAACAACCTCAACACGTATGGCTTGCACCTCCTGCGGGACCCTACAGTCCGTTGTGCAACCTGAACCAGCAAACGGAGGCACAGCGAGACGAGCTACAGCAGAAGCGCAGCGAGGCTATGCGGCGCTACGTGGCCTGTGCTTGCGTTGTGCATTTGTGTGTTCAGATGGGCATACATGTGACATGGGAGATGCCAGAGAAGTGTCAAGCTTGGAGGTTGCCACTTTTGAACAACTTGAGAGTGAAGTATGACATGTACATGGCTGTGACCAAAGGTTGTGCCGTGAACCACCGGAGTGAACCGCAGGGCCAGTTGACGCAACAGGGTTGGAAGATTCTCACTACTAGTAAGCGACTGTCTGAGACTCTTAACCTCCCGTGTCGTTGCCCTCGTAACTACAACCACGGAACGTGTAGCGGTAAGAAAGCCCCCATGGAACTCCCCTACACCAAGGAGTACTCCCAAAGAGTAGCAAGGATCCTCAAACAGGAGTTGTCCTTCGAGGCAACACTGCGGGAATGCACAGGGAGCACGGACCTGGTTCCCAGTTTCGGAGAAGGAGAGTTCTGTACCTGCGGGGAGGTGTGTCTTCCAAAGGTTCCTCAGGAGTGCGCGAGTTGCCTGAAGGGTCGAGTACAGCTGCAGGTTCAAGAAGGGATGTTTCAGGAGGATTGCGATGATGAGAGTAGGGTGACCGATGAGAACGATGATGACATGGACACCTCAGGTGATGTGTACGTGGTAGGAGATGGAAAAAGGGAAGTGTTCTCCGAGGCTCAGGTTCAGAAGATAGAGGCCCGAGCTAAAGAACTCCTTGAGAAACAACAGTTCAGCCACGGCACTTGTGAACAGGTCCTGAAGTCCCTGCCCAATTACCGACCCAAGAACCATCGTAGTGTGCTTCAAGAAGAACATGTTCGGTACTTGTCGTTTGGTCTGTATGCTTACGGAAATCACTACGGAGTTACGAAAAGTACCCTGAAGTTTCCCAACATATGTAGGTATATTCTCGCGTATGTGCAGCACTGGTCGAAGGAGCAGATAGAGTGCACCTCGTTTGTGGTCAACGACAATGGTACACTGAAGGTTCATCGTGACAACCACAATAGAGTAGGTTCCCGGAACTGCCTGATAGGAGTAACCAACTACCAAGACGGTGGCCTGTGGCTAGCAGGGCCACCGCAGAACAAGCAACAGCCCGCGCGAGCCAAGGTATTGCCAAACGGCAAAACCGAGCTGGGACACGTGGTGTCCACCCGGCACCGAGTGGTGCACTTCGACGCCAAACAGTGGCACGCGACCGAGGCTTGGCATGGGGACCGCGTCGTGGTGAGTGCTTTCGTTAGCCGCGGTTGGGATGAAGTTGGTTCAGAAGTTCAGGGTCTTTTGAGAACGTTGGGATTTCCGGTTCCTGCGAGTGTGAGTTGTGCGGAGGCCATGGTAGTGAAAAGTAGAGGACCCGAGGCCATGGTAGTGAAAAGTAGAGGACCCTGGTCAGGACCCCTTAAGAACCAAGGCAAGGCGGAACACGAAGCGATCAAACGTAAGCTGTATTTGTTGCATGCCGCCACCGGGCATGGCAGCACTCGACACATGATCGATGCCTTGAAACGACGGAACGCTAAACCCTTGGTGTTGCAACTTGCAAAAGAGTTTACGTGTTCCATTTGTCAGGAGCGGGCTAAGGTGAAGCCGCGACAGGTTGCCTCCCTGGAGCCTTTACCACCTAAATTCCACACCGTGTCTGCTGACATAGGGCATTGGATGCACCCTCAGACCAAGGAGCATCAGAACTTTATGGTGGTGGTGGATGAGGGTTCGAGGTTCAGGGTCGCGAAGATACTGACCAAGGGACAGAAGCAGACCCCCAGTGGAGCAGTGTGCACGAACTATTTGTCTGAGGGATGGTTTCAGATCTTCGGAAAACCAAAGACGCTGAGGCTCGATCCTGCTGGTAGCTTTCGTGGGGAACATATGTCAAGTTTCTGTGACCGCCATGGCATATATCTTGACATAATCCCTGGGGAAGCTCACTGGCAGATTGGAGTGACAGAGCAGGCCGTACAAGGACTGAAGCAGCTCATGGACAAGCTAGCAGCTGCCGACCCAGAGGTCAGTGCTGAGGAGTGCTTGAGCGTGGCTGTCAGTACCTTCAATCAGCGTGAGATGGTGCGAGGCTTCTCGCCAACCCAGCATGTGCTGGGCCACAGCCCAGACAGTACGGGGCGGCACATTCATTCCGCCGCCTTGCTTCCAGAAGAGCCTATCTTGAGTAGTTCCCCGGAGGAGCTCAAGCGAGAAGCTCGGTTGAGAGCAGAGGCCGAGAAAGCTCTGGCGGATTGGACGGCCCAGCAACGAGTGACGAAGGCCTTGAATTCTCGGACCAGGCCTCACCAACAGTATCAGCCAGGAGACCTCGTATTTTTCTGGCGAACTCAAGAGTCGGGCCAGGGCAAGCGTAGTCCTGGGACCAAACACGGCCGCTTCCTCGGACCAGCGAGGATCCTCGCCACCGAGGTCCGAAGGAATCCGGACGGCAGCACCCGGGATGGCCACGCTATCTGGTGTGTGAGAGGTAGACAACTCATCAAGTGCAGCCCAGAACAACTCAGACCCGCCAGCACGCGAGAAGAGCTTGTGGAGAGCTTATCCGAGGACCAGGGAACCCCCTGGACCTTCAGTCGGCTCTCTCAAGAGTTGGGCGGAAATCAGTATGAGGACATCAGTGCCGAGGTGCCCGATGATGTCGAGTGGAGGCGAGCCCAGGACGTGACGGAGGAAGTGGCCCCCGCACGGCATCGCTTGACACGCAAACGGCCACCACCAGGACCCTTGGATCAAGAAACCACGGAATCGATGGATGAGCTTCTGGCAGAGACGAGCCCTACGGATCCAGTGAGACGCAGCAGCGCCTCAGCGGCATCAGGACGTCGAAGGCCAGAGCCTACGGAGCGAGGGTACAGTTGGTGGTCCGAAGTGAAAGAGGCCGCCTGGCAACCTGCTGATTCCAGTTTCTGGTCGGAAGCTCACGCTGCCGTGGCAGTAGAAGTGGACATGCCGCAGCAGGGACAGGCCTGGAACAGGGCCACGAGAGACCTGGGAGCATACTTGGCATGTGCGTTGAAGAAGCGCGCGGTGGAAGTATCGGAGAAGCGCCTCACCACCAAGGAGCTTGAGCAGTTCAAGCAAGCGAAGATGATTGAGGTGAAGAACTTCCTAGCGGCGAACGCGTTTGAGGTCCTGCCCGACCACATTAAACCGAGTAAAGAACAAGCAGTCGGTATGCGTTGGATCTTGACTTGGAAGATGCAAGATTCAGGATTGCCTAAGGCGAAAGCACGCGCCGTGCTCTTAGGCTATCAAGACCCATCGTATGAACACCGAGCAACAACGGCACCGGTCATGACCAGACAGACACGCCAGCTACTTCTTCAGTTGGCGGCCAACCAAAAATGGCGTATCATGAAGGGCGACGTCAGCGGTGCCTTCTTACAAGGGCGAGAGTATCCAGATGAATTGTTTTGCATTCCATGTCCAGAAATATGTCAGGAGATGGGCCTTCCCGCTAATACCGTAACTCGTCTTAAAAAGGCGTGTTACGGATTGGTGGACGCACCCCTTGAATGGTACAAGACTGTGGCAGCCTACCTGGAAAGCCTGGGATTGGAGCGGCTATGGTCAGATGCTTGTGCATGGGTGTGGAGAAAAGACGGCGTCCTCCGAGGTATGATTTCGGGACATGTTGACGATTTCATCTTTGCAGGCTCTGACTCAGATCAGGAGTGGCAGAGTTTGTTGGCACAGATTAAGGCTCACTTCAAATGGGGGGACTGGGACTTGGACAACTTCACACAGTGTGGAGTGCAGGTTGAAACCACGAAGGACGGCTTCACATTGTCACAACCAAGGTACCTTGAGGGAGTGAGTGAAATCCATGTCAATGCTACGCGGCGGAAGACCCGTCAAGCCGCCACCTCAGACCGCGAAAAATCGCAGTTACGCGGCCTACTGGGAGCGCTTAGTTGGCACAGCCAACAAGTGGCACCCCACTTAGCAGCGGATGTGAGCATGCTCCTGTCTGAAGTAACTCACTCGCAGGTGGAGACAATCTTCCGGGCAAATGCTTTGCTCACTCAGGCCAAAGCCAGAAGCGACCACAAGCTGAAGATCCAGAGGTGTGTGTCGGAACAAATGATCTTGGCCGCTTGGGTGGATGCAGGCAGTCAGAATAGGCACGATGGTGGCAGCACTCAGGGCGTGGTGATCGGTGCCGCCCCAGCAGAACTTCTGCAGGGGGAGGTGACTCAGGTCTCTTTGATGGCCTGGCACTCAAATCGCATAGATAGATCTTGCCGCAGCCCAGGCGCAGCAGAGACGCAGGCCGCCGTGAACGGGGAGGACGCATTATATTATGCCCGCTTCCAATGGAGTGAGATGTTGTATGGCAACGTGAACCCTCGGCAACCGGATGAAGTTGTTCGACGAGTTACCGGGTGCCTCATTACGGACTCCAGGAATGTGTATGATAAGCTATCCTGTGAGGTGGTGAGCATCAAGGGTGCGGAAAAGCGCACCAACATAGAAGCCCTGGCATTGAAAGAGTCACAGCAGAACACTGGGCTCATTGTGCGGTGGGTGCACTCCGAAGCACAACTGGCCAATTCGCTTACCAAGATGGGAGGCAAGAATGAAATCGAGATGTTCTACAGGCTCGGGCAGTCATGGCGCATTGTCGAGGACCCGGAAATGCAATCAGCTCGCAGGCGGAGAGAAGCAGGCTTAGAGCCACTAGCACAGAAGGAGAAGCAGAATCACTAGTTGTTTTGTTTGGGGAATGCTGCGCAGTACGGGGATTCGGAGCCGGGGGTCATGCAAGTGAAATCACTTGCAGATGCCTCACTCAACACTGTTGGAGACGCATCTGTGTGTCTTGTGATCGCAGCTACGAATCAGGTCAAGTGTGAGCAGAAAAGAGGTCCGCTCAGCCCCGTTCGTCCGGGCCATCGGGATTTCGGCATCTGCTCTTCAGGCCTCTTTCCAGCGCTTGTGCACTGAGGGCATTCGAACAGCTACCGGACTTTCAGGGCTTAGGGTTTAGGGTTTAGGGGTTTAGGGTTTAGGGTTTAGGGTTTAGGGCTTAGGGTTCAGACTTGTTCTCCGATCTTTCTGGTTCCCTGTGTCGGATGTGTTTCGACTTTGTTATGTGCGTATGTTCTCGAATGTTTTAAAGAGCTTTTTGGGATGTGTGCGTGTTTGTAGGTTTGTTCATGTGGTTTATGATGATCAGTGTTCACGGTTTTCTTTTGTTTGTTATCATAGATGCCCTGTTTTCCTTTCCGCACTTTATTCTCGGAGCGTTTTGCATCTTCGAATATGTTGTGCTTTTGCATTTATGCTTGTTGCTGACTGTTCCCGGACATACAAATCGGGATGGATGCTCCGAATGGGAGTCCAACATTAGACTCATTAGACACAGCTTGATTTCCGAGCTGTGTGTCGAGTGAAGGTCCAGGAATTTCTGTGAACCTGAACCGCACCTCAGACCTTAATCCGATCCGACACCGCAGACCTTTGGTGTTCCGAACGGGGGTTGAACTTCTGGCCTCTCCAGTTCAAGTCTCTGGCAGAAACGCACAAAACTTTTCAGAATCCCACATTACTATAGGTCCCAGAGTCATGGCCAAAGATTCTCATATGTTGTCGACGTTTTCTGATGAGTACCCCCTCTGAGAAAGCCCCATATGGCAGGCAATGAGCAGGGAAACCCTAACCCCCAAAGCCCTAAAACCCACACCCTGAAACCCTAAAGCCCTAAACCCCTAAACACCGCTGAAGAGTTGGGGGGGCCGACAAATGGCTCCAAGGTTTTCTACATTTGCAGTTTCATGAACCCTAATTGAATGTGGAGCCTTTATAGTTTGATAGGTTTGGGGGGTATCATACCGTAACTATAACAAGGAGCCCGCAAAAACCTATTCTAAGCAACTTTATTTTTTAGAGCCCCTCCCCCAGCCTATTCAACCCGGTGTGCCGGAAGCGCCACACTCCGCATCATCTTCGATGGTGATCGTCTGCTGCCGTATCTTCATCAGACCAGCGGCACTGTCCTAAAGCTCTAAGGACTCATATATTAAGGCTTTTGGGCCCAAAGACCATACCATATAAGGCTATTGGGCCATTCTTGAGCCTCAGGGTGTGATACGAAGATAGAGGTTATGCACCCCACTTACGCTTCTTGATGGGCAGGTATGACTACACCCCCACCTCCACGTGTTCGGACCTAGGCACGGTCCACAACCGCGTTTTGGTAAGGGCTGGAGGTTAGAAACCAAGGTAGGGCTTTGGGACATTTTATATTTTCCCTTATTGGGTTTAAGAGGATCTTATTTACTAATATTTTTCAAAGGCTTTAAAGCCCCACCTCGAAATCGGTTCCTGATTCTTGGATGAGGGATGGCTACACGCTCGTTGGGGGTTCTGAGCAACGAATTATGTCGTAAAAGGGACTGTTGGGTTTCCGGGTTTAGGGTTTAGGGTTTAGGGTTTAGGGTTTAGGGTTTAGGGTTTGGGGTTTGGGGTTTGGGGTTTAGGGTTTAGGGTTTAGGGTTTAGGGTTTAGGGTTTGGGGTTTAGGGTTTAGGGTTTAGGGTCTGAAGTGTTCAAGGCCTTCATGAGTGCGGGTTTTCGGGTCGGGAGCCGCAGATTTGGAAGTTGCAGCTGTTGAAGGCATGGGTTCATATAGCCCTAACGGTTCAGGTATTCATATAGCATATACATTGGCCTTAAAGTATTCCCTATATAGCTACATTGGGCCCAAAGTATATGCTATATGGGTACATGGACGCTTAGGGTAGGGGTCTGAATAAATATGTTTACCATTCAGCAGTTGTTTGACTCATACTACACTTGTTACTGTTGCTATTATGCTATACCCCAAGACCCTACTGCCTTCATTTTGTCTCCCAGAGCGACGCTGGATTCAGGGATTGGGCTCAAATTCTGTGCGTGGTCTCCCACATTAATATTGGTTGTTGTCAAAATTATGGTCCCTTTTTGGGTACCCTAAATATTAGGTGCCGTACTATACTAGGGACCCAAACAGGGACCATAATTTTGACGACCACCCATATGTTTTTTTAATCCGTACGACCTGCGGAAAACCCTGACAGCCTCCTAGCCCCGGCCTCTCCAAACAAAAAACGGAGTCCTTCCAGGGAAGACAGCAGACGGCAAATGGGCTCGGAGACATTCAAGACCTGACATAAATGAGGGCTAAGGAACCCTAAACCCTAAACCGTGGCAGAGGGTGCAGGGTGTCTTGACTTCAAGTATACAATCGGATCCTCCATGTGAGGAGCGCTGGAAGCTACCCGTAGGAACATCTCGGATGGTGGCAGGCTTCCTAGACCGCCACACTAGAGTGTCGCGAGTCAGCAAAATCCTGCAAAGGAAACGAGCGCCTAGGTATCCACATGGGCTACAACAGCGATCCTTGATATAGAAGCCGCACATTGCACGAAAAAGTACTTGGGATCCTCGGCTAAAGTTGCACTACCATCCAGGCATGTACATGAACGCCATGAACTTCGATCGTGCCTTGACTCAAGATTTGTTGCCCGCAATGTGGGTTGTTCAGCCAACAAGGGACACCGTATCCACAAATATTGGTTTCACTGTATTGACAGCTTGGGGCTCTTGTCTAAACCCTAAGTTCTGCACCCTAAACCTGCCTTTGCATAAACCCGTCCCTCTTTTCATCCGAAAATGAGAATGGCTCGGCAGCGGATTTTGCTCTGATAGCCCATAGCTCGTACCAGTACTAGTACTACTTTGTTCCTTACTATACGGTATCCTTATTGCACGTCCTTAAAAATGGTAGGTTGCTTGAACATGGGCTTACAAGGTACTGCATCATAATCATACTATAGGGGCCTTAATATTCCGGGGATTCCTTATTGGAATTATGGGGGGGCCCGGGCCCTGTTCTAACTATTTGGGCCCCTATACTACAGTACCCTTAGAGATTTCTTACAGAAGCCCTTACAGTCCCCTTTGAAGGACCCCCCCCATTCTAATCATTAAGGTCCCCTCAAGTAGAGCTAGTTATTTGGGCCCCTATGTTATTGCCCCGAATTCCAAGGCCTCAACGATCACTCGTCGCGACCGGTTCTGTCGCCCACGTCGACACAGGGAGAGCTGCCGCCCCTTGCATCGCGGCCGCATTTCCTGGGCTCTGGTTAAGGGATGTAGTTGTTACCATCATAAGCAAACCAAGTAGTCGAGTATAGATCCCAGTTCTGGTAACCTATATTCCTTGACAAGAAACCCAGTTTCGGGATGGCGGGTTGAGGGCTCCGAACCCAAAAGATCTCCCCACCCCCACCGCACACACACACACACACACACACACACACACACACACAACCCAAAACCCTGAGTCCTAGACCCCTGAATCCTTGATAGAATCCTAGGTCCCTGAACCCAAGGCCCTTGAACCTCAAGGCAGGCCCCTGAACCCCACACCCCCCGAGCGCCCAAAGCCCGCCAACCCTGAAATCGACTCCTTGTCGGAAGGATGCGAAACTGGCTACACTGGGTCGCTACGGCTCGCTCACACTCGAGGCCCCTCGGAGGGTTTCGGCCGCTTTTGTATACTTGTACTTCAAGGTTTGGACGTTCGGTATGGAGGCTTTGGTTTTAGAGTTTTTTTCTTTGCATTTCCTGGTTTTCGGTTTTAGTACGGGTCTGGGATCGGGTTTAAGGTCACAGAGATGCCTCCAAGAGAGCTTAGTCCTCTTCAAACCCTAAATCTCAAGCCCCTTCCGATTCAAAATCTCAAACTCAAAACCCTGAACAACCCAACCCAAGACCTCTCTGACTCCTGAGAACCTTACACCGCCAAACCTTCCGACCCTCTAGGCCCTAAACCCAAAGCCTTTGAACCCGTGAGCTCTAAATCCTAAACCCTCTGAGCCCTATATAACTCCCTCAATCTTCTGAACCCGAAACCATAAATCCTAACCCCCCAGCCCTCTGAACCCTAAACCCTCTAAACTCTCTGAACTCTGAACTCTAAAACCCCACATTCCCTCAATCCTCTGAGCCCTAGTTAAACCCCAAACCCCCCAACCCTCTCAACCCTACGCCCAATATACCCAACACCCTCCGACGTTGCGCTGGGAGGAGATACCCGAGTTCAGGACCGGGGCTTCTCTGGGGGTGTTTTGGGTCGACGGCTTGGGGAGTTGTTTAGTTTAGGGTTTAGGGCATTGGGGCTGTGAGGCTTGGGGGTTTTGGGGGCTTTAGGGGTTTAGGGGTTTAGGGTTTTAAAGATTCAAAAGGCTTAAGAGGTTTAGGGGCTTAGAGTTAAGGGTTGGTGGAGTTTTTAACTTTATGGCGTAGGGTTTCTGCAAGGGTGGCTAAGCTTGGGAATGTTGTGGTGTGGAAGGCCTTAAGGGTTTACTCTTCTTCGTCTTTACAGGTGTTTTGTGAATCTTATGCAGGTATATACTACTTGGAGGTTCATGGGTAGGTATAGGTCGGGCTATAAGTCCCCAATATGGGTCATAAGTATAGTTCTCCTACTTATAACCCTACTTATAACTACCCATGAACCTCCAAGTAGCAGGGTTCAGGATGAAGGTTTTCTGGTGTAGGGCTGGAGTGCTTTACTGGGTTTTAGAGCAGACGGGCCTGAGACTTGGGCTTTGGGGTTATATATTAGGACAAGCACAAAAGGGGCTCCATGTGAACAACGTATCAAACCCTTTAACAGTAGCCTTACATCCGGTCATCGACGGTTTTCTTTTGGCGACCAAG